GAGGAGGAGGAGGAGTGTTGCCTTTCCTGATGCAGTCTAGACAAGATCTGAATACTTATCAGCCTGGTTTCACATCTTTTCTCTGCACATCGCTCAAATAGGCAAAGAAAAACTCTCCTTTTCTTTTTCTGGGTCTCCATTTTCAACACTTTTCCAAAAAGGCTTTTTTATTTATTACATCACACAATTTTCTTATTATATGTCTAATTTATCTAACTTATCTCATTTATGTCTATGTCTGCACGGGAGAGCAAGAAACCAAATTTCGATTCTTTGTATTTTTCAGTTTTATCATTCTGTCCTATATTTGTATTTCTACATTTTATTCTTGCTTCTCATAGAAGGGTTGTGTTGTGCACCCAACACCAAGGCAAATTCCTTGTAAGTCTGAAAACCTACTTGGCAATAAACCTTATTCTGATTCTGATTCTGATTCTGATGACCAACGCATGTAAAGAAATTGACCATAAAGCCTACTTGACTTGACTTGACTTGACAACCACCGTCAATACGCTGATAAATCAATATCTGGACCACAAAAGAGCTGATTTGTTAAATATTTCATGAGTCTGATGGCTGAGAAAGGGGCCATTAAAGCTCTAAAACTCTGCAGCTGGAGGAGGAGGTGTAAAGAGTTACAGTCTCTCAGAGGTAAAGATGCATTAACATTTATCATTTAACATTTATCCGTTTAGAAGATGCTTTTCTGCAAAACCGCTCATTAGAACGAGCCGTTAGAGACATAACATTTAATAACAAACAGTTCTGACATCATCTGACCGTTACTGAGCATTTCTCTTGCTCAGAACCGCTTAGATTTTGCATTTCTAGAGTATTCAACTTCACTTTTTAAGCATGAGTGGTTGAAATCATCTTCTCTGTTAAAGTGAGTCACGTCTGGGTAGAGAAGGTGAACACAGATGGTGTCTGTTTAACAATGTAAGGAAAAAAAGGATGAATTCAAGCACAAAGTAGCTCAATACTAGTGAAATTATCTGTCCGTGCAGCAAGTTAATTTAACTTAACAAGATATCTCATAACAAGTTTGTTTCATTCTAAAAACGAGATTTCTCTTAAAGGCATCATGGGCTCAAAATAAGTACAAAATACTCATTTCAAGATGAATAAACTTGAAATAAGATTTGCTAGAGCACATTAACAAACATAATATACTTTAAAAGTGCAAACAATACTTATCTAGTTTTGGCAATCCTGATTTTAGTTTAACTCATTGCAAAGAAACAAGAAAATATTTCACAAGTTTAAGTGTAAAGTGCTTAATTCTTGGATAGCATGAGGAATAGAAACAAGCGATCCTATCTTGAAACCAGATGCCCAAAGCCACAGTTACCTTAAAACTAGGCCTTTATCCCACATCATACATCTTTGTATGGGTTCATTTAAGAGTTCCATATCCTAAGTAAGATACGGAAGACAATATCATACTAAATTTAACAATATACACTGGACCCAACGTTTAGAAACTAGTAAATAACACTTGAAACAAGATAACCCATCTTAAATGTCCTGGTATGAGATTATAAATCCTGTTAAGAAGACAAAAAATTTGCAGTGTGGTTGTTAAATCTCACAGTTCCTCGACATGAAGGCCAGACCCAGAGAGAGGAAAATGGCTGGTGGGGATGCTGGAGTCTGAGTAAAGAAAGCTCGACTTCCTCTTTCTATTTGGACCACTAGACGTTTCTCCTCTCGTCCTAAAGGACTCCTCAGCTCTAAACTACATGGAAGGGGGTCATCTTATAGCAGAGAGAGGGGTTAACGCCTCTTTTTTTGTCTATAAAGGAGAGAAAAACAGCAGCTCCTCAAGTAGAATGAGCAGATCTGGTCAGAAACACTCGTTTAAATATTTTCTAATCCAGTTTAGCTAGCTAGACTCACAGAAAAACAATTGTTTTTTTTTAACATGCTGAACAAACTGGGCCTGGAGGGTTACAAAAAAGTACCTAAACCTCCAGAGATCAAATTCTGCTCAGGTTTGAAGGCATGTTTCTACACAGCCCGAATCCAAGAGGACACACACACAGACACACACACACACAGACACACACACACACACACACACACACACAACAAACACACACAGACACACACATGTGGAGCAGCATCCACTCCTCTGCTGCACTCCTTCATATTTCATGAAACGCCTCACTGATGTCAGTCAGCATCAGGACATGTGGCAGGCTCTCTCCTTCTGCAGCATCATGAATAATGCCTGTTTTCTTTTATCTGCAGATGTATTCACAAATACTCACGATTGCTTCCTAATGACATCACTTATATAGAAGTGTTAACCATTCTGGAAACCTACAGCATATCTCCCAAAACCCAGAATAATTTCCTTTAGCCTGGATCTTTTAAAGAAAAGTTAGGATATATTTTAAATCCTTTATTCTCCCCTTTATTTATTTACTCCGTTGACATATCAGTGTATTATTTACTCGTTTAATTCTGATCAAAAGATTTCCCATGGATGGCTCAGCTTTAGCTTTAAATTTTAAAACACAGAACACCAGCTCTAACAACTAAAACAAGGAAGAGAATAGCTCCCTCTAGTGGGCATTTTAATTCAACAAGTCTGAAGCCTCCATCAGAAGAAACTGTGTGGTTTGACCCTCGATGAGGCTGTTAGTCTGACTCAGCACTTTAATGAGGAATGTAGTGGACTGGATCCACTGTTTAGCTGCTTTAATGCTTTATAAAACAGTTTTAACTTACCTAAACATGCCATTTCTGCATCTATTTGTTATATTTTGTTTACACCTTAGAGATAAACGGAATAAACATCCAAAATCAATCTGATTCACAAGTTGTACAATTGCAGAGTTTACTGTTCAAGCATTTCAATAATTAATTTCATCATCTCGTATTTAGAAACAGGAAAACATTAATACATTTAATTTATTCATTCAAAGTAATCCATTAATCCCACAAGGAGAAATACATTTTAATGCTGCAGCAACAACACAAGAAATAAACGTAATAAACAACAATAATTATTAATAAGACATAATACATTTGTCCGCTTCAAAAAGTTTGACTTAAAACAGTTAAAAAATATTTGAAAAATACCAAATAAAATACATAATATCCATATTTAACTTTTTTCGGCAGTGTACCACATAAAAAAGTAAACAAACTTAAGGTTCCGACGGACATGAAGGCAGCACCGGGTTTGTGGTTACCATAGCAACAGGACGCCTCTCTTCTGTAGACTCCGTCCGTTCGTCGTTTTGAGTCGCAGGAGTTTTCAATCTGAGGGGGAAAATCAACATAAATTACCAGAACGAGCACGTCAAACCAGGTCGACATGCCGCTGCACGTGACCGACTACACGTGGACCCAAACGGACTCCGCGGTCCACATCACCGTGCCGCTGAAGGGGGCCAAACCGGGCCAAGTGGACATCGTCTCAACGGACGAGTACCTGAAGGTGACGTCAGCAAAGCAGAGCGTAGCTCGCGTTTTCGCGGTTTTAAAGGGGCACTCACAACGCAGACGCATGCGCTGTGGAAGGTAGCCGTCACTTCCGGTTTCATGGTTAACGTTTTGTTATTACTTTTAAACTTGAGAAAATAGTTCATTCTTACGGTTTAAAATGATTTTCAACGCTGTGAAAATAATTAAAAGAGCCACTGACGCATATAAAGCAAAGTGAATGAGAGAATTGTCCTCAGAGTTGATGAAAATGACACCATCAATATCGCTGTTTCTTCCGTTAGCGGAAAGGCCGCCATCTTTGTTTCCGGAAATAGGAACAATTTGGAGAAAGTTTTCAGCCGTTTGGGAATCACACCGTTGCTTCAAAAATCATTTTTCTGTGTTAGCTTTGGCATTTTGACACATCAGCTAAATAAAAGTGGAAGAATGACGAGTCTTTGTGACAGGTTGCTGGTAACAAAGAGCCTAAAGATCCACTTTAAACTGCAGACACAACACTGGCTCGTCCCTTGAGTTGCTTATTGTCATAAGTTGCTGATATTTGATATTCTTTTACTTTGAATTTAAAGGTCAAATGATTAGATATATTTCAGAAAAATATCTCTGCTGGTATCTCTTTTTTTTGCCTTTGGTGTTTTCCATTAGGTCCTATCACAATTTTCATGTTTCTTATATTCCATGCAGGTTAATTTCCCACCTTTTCTGTTTGAGGCCTTCCTGTTTGAACCCGTTGACGATGACAGGAGCACAGCAAAGGTTGGAAACGGAGTCGCAGTATTCAGTTTGCCTAAGAAAACCAGCAGACTGTGGGACAATTTGGTGCTAAGCACAAGTGAGGGATAATTCCATTTATTGCCTTTGGAAGTGTCCTGAGCCCTAAAGACTCCGAGTTGAACAAGTGAAATTTAATTTGTTTTTCAGATGATAAAGCAAAAAAGAAGGAGATCAGAGAAAAAGCTCTGGAGAAACATCAGCAGAAGCTTTCCTCACAGTCCAAACAAAAAGCGGAGAAACAGCAAGCAGAGAAAAAATACGCTCTGAAAACAATGATGAAGGTAACGCTACAGCTCACATCACCCAGAATGTGTTAAACAAACCATTCCAGGAGAAGCAAACCCATTTGTTTGGCTCTTATCAGCTTGAAAAAGAGGGAAGAGACAGAATCCAACAGATGAAGGATGCAGAGCGGGAGAAAACCACCACGGAGCTGGCAGCATGGCAGCTGAGGCAGAAGCAGGAAGCAGAGGCAGAAAACCAGCCCAGAGGCATCCGCCCGCCCCCCCAGGGAGGCAGAGCAGGGAGCAGGGAAGAGGGACGGACCCCCGTCAAACGGGGTGAGTATCCAATCCAATCCACTTTATTTATATAGCACAGTGCTTCTCTATTATTTTCTGTTACGCCTCCCCTATCAAGAAGAAAACTATTCGCGCTCCCCACTCCCCACCGTGACTATACATCTCTACATGATATTTTTTCCTTATTAATATTAAAGAAAAGGAAAAAAGGAAGACATATGGTCAAACTTACAAAGAATAACTTTATTAAATCGTGTTTTAGGTATGCAACAGAAAAAATTTTAAGTGCATCAATGCCTGAAATTAAAAATAAATAAACCCTTGTTTAAACTGTAAACATGTTTGACCAACTAATTGCACCATTGCAAAATTAAATCAAATCAATAAATAATATTTAATAATTATAATAACCAATAAACTACAAAAACAACAAAAATAATAACTAATTTATATTTAGTTAAGCAACATTAACTCAGGAGCACAATATATAAAACACTTAGCATTCGGTTCACTTTCTTTTGTCTCATTATCTTTGTCTCTCCCCCCCTTCGGGGGCGCGCCCCACTATTTGAGAAGCACTGATATAGCACGATTTCATCAAACACAAGGTTTCCAAAGTGCTGCACAAAAAGATATACAGAATAAATAGATAACACAATAGAAGTACAGCAAGAAAAGATGAGGTACACGGTAAAAAATAAAAGTAAAATAAAAATAGATAAAAGCACTGCACGCACAGGGTAAAAATATGCATGTATATACATAAAATCAACGCTCTACATGTTGTCAAAAGCCAAAGAAAAGAGGTGGGTTTTAAAATGAGACAGAGAGGGGGCCTGTCTAATGTGCAGTGGCAATCCACTACAAAGTTTTGGAGCTGCAACGGAAAACGCTCCTGTAACTTCCTGTTGATTAGGGTTGTCAAAAGTATCCATACTCCAAAAAGTATCGATACTAAAACGTTGTATCCGGATACGATACTCATTTTCAAAAGTATTGATACCCGCCCCTCCTCTCTCTGATTTATTTATTTACGTTGTTTATGATCATTAACGTGACGTTAGCTTTGAATTGCTAGCTGCGGCTAATGGCTTTTAACAACACACCAACATTAATCAAGCCAAGGATGGATGTCCAACTCCCCCACATCCAAGTCGGCCATTTTGATTAGGTCACCAATAGGAAGATCCCAGGCAAGAAAATCCTAATTGCTTCATGGTAATATAAACATTAATATAAGAATAGTGAAATTAATCTGGCAAACACTGAATTCAACTATATACATAATATTATGTTAAAATAGTGGATGTTAAATAGGTTTGTACAATAAGTCCGAACAACTTTAACCAAAAAATATTATTTCTCACAATTATGAAAGGTGGAGGGTTAGGATTAGGGTTAGGGTTAGGGTTAGGGTTAAGGTCAGGGTTAGGGTTAGGGTTAGGGTCAGAGTTAGGGTTAGGGTTAGGGTCAGGGTTGGGGTCAGGGTTAGGGTTAGGTTTGTGTCAGGGTTAGGGTCAGGGTTAGGGTCAGGGTTAGGGTCAGGGTTAGGGTTAGGTTTAAGGTTAGGGTTAGGTTTAGGCTCAGGGTTAGGGTCAGGGTTAGGGTTAGGATTTGGGTTAGGGTTAGGGTTAGGGTTAGGGTCAGGGTCAGGGTTGGGGTTAGGTTTGTGTCAGGGTTAGGGTTAGGGTCAGGGTTGGGGTCAGGGTTAGGGTTAGGTTTGTGTCAGGGTTAGGGTCAGGGTTAGGGTCAGGGTTAGGGTCAGGGTTAGGGTTAGGTTTAAGGTTAGGGTTAGGTTTAGGCTCAGGGTTAAGGTTAGGGTTAGGGTCATTAATGTGGGCCACCATAACATCAGTAACAGGTCAGTTTGACACTAACCTGTCAAAATTCAGTTCAATTTTGGGGTCTTTATTTTGTTTTTATCCTTGTGGTATCCAAACTGGTATCGAGTATCGAGTATTTTCCTGAGTATCGGTATTGAGTTGAACATGTTAGTATCATGAAAAACCCTAGTGTGTGTAACTTCCTGTTGATGTGACCTGCTCACTCTGGTGGATCCTGATGATTCCCCCTTTGGGTCTAGGTCAGATAAAACAGGCCCAGCCTCCTCCTCCGAGGCCCGGCGGGAACATCCAGATCTCGTTCACCCCCCGAGTCTTCCCTACAGCCCTGAGGGAGTCCCGCCTGCCTGAGGAGGAGGAGGTCAGCCTTTCCCTCATTTTCACCACCATTTTACATTCTTTAACTTTTATCAAATATGTTATATAGGCTAATATACAGTGGGGGAAATAAGTATTTCAGCCCTTGCTGATTTTGCAGGTTTGCCCTGCAAAAGATGATTCTTCATCAAACTGAGCAGTGAGACACTTTAAGCCTCATTTTGTCCTCTCAGGTTAAACAGAGTCTGTTTTTTCTCTGAAATCAGCGCTGTTTCAGCTCCTGAACTCATGTTTCCACTTCTTGCTTTTTATCAAATCTATTAAATCATCTCGGGGTGATGTTTTTGTGCGACCAGTGGCTCAGAAAGCAGGCGGAGGCGAGGCGATCCGTTATTTCTGCTGCAGAGGAGCTGCAGGACCTGCGGGAGGAGGAGAGGAACCCCGACTGGCTGAAGGACAAAGGAGAGTGAGTGATTTCACATCTATTCCTCAGCTCCAGCTCCTGCTGGAGGATTTATTTAATCCATTTTAGCCAACTAGACTCACAGAAAAACGATTGTTTTTTTTAACATGCTGAACAAACTATTTGTTACACCTTAGAGACAAACGGAATAAACATCCAAAATCAATCTGTTTCACAAGTTGTACAAATGAAAAGCTTACTGTTCAAGCATTTCAACATTTAATTTCATCATCTCGTATTTAAAAACAGGAAAACATCAATACATTTAATTTATTCATTCAAAGTAATCCATTAATCCCACAAGGAGAAATCATCTGTTTCACAAATTGTACAATTTCAAGATCTTATTGTTCAAGCATTTCAAGATTTAATTTCATCAGCTCGTATTTAAAAACAGGAAAACATAATCCCACAAGGAGAAACACATTTTAATGCAGCAGCAACAACACAACAAATGAACGTAATAAACAACAATAATGATTATGTTCGAGCATTTCAAGATTTAACACGAAAACATTAATGCATTTATTATCATTATTCATTCAAAGTAATCCATTAATCCCACAAGGAGAAACACATTTTAATGCAGCAGCAACAACACAACAAATAAACGTAATAAACAACAATAATGATTATGTTCGAGCATTTCAAGATTTAACACGAAAACATTAATGCATTTAATTTATTCATTCAAAGTAATCCATTAATCCCACAAGGAGAAATCATCTGTTTCACAAGTTGTACAATTTCAAGATCTTATTGTTCAAGCATTTCAACATTTAATTGCATCATCTCGTATTTAAAAACACGAAAACATTCAAAGTAATCCATTAATCCCACAAGGAGAAACACATTTTAATGCAGTCCCTGAACGCACCGTTTCCCCACAGCAGGTGCTTTGGGACGGGGGACTTCCAGGGGGCGGTGAACGCCTACAGTTTGGCCTTAAGACTCAACCCACAGCTCCCAGCTCTGTTCTCCAACAGGGCCGCCTGCCACCTAAAGCTCAGGAACCTCCACAAAGCCATCCAGGACGCCTCCAAGGTCCGTGAACGGTTTATGTGACCTCAAACTATACGAAATATTAGACATAATGCAGATCCAGATGTTAACACATTTAGAGAACTACACTGACTTTACAGTTTATGTCAGTGTTTTTCTACCACTGTGCCTCGGCACGCTAGTGCAGTGTTTTTCAACCTTTTTTGAGCCAAGGTACATTTTTTCATTGAAATAATCACGAGGGACACCACCAACCAAAAATGTTAAACAAATCTGTAGCCGCCTATAGTAACACTATAGTTATTCTTATCTTGTTCTTATCTTATCTTAAGTGTCTTGAAAGGAATCAAATAAACACAAAAATGTATTTTCATCATATTTTATATTTCTTCTTTCAAATTGCTCTCAACATGCCCACTTCAATATGGAAAATTATATACAAAATCTAGTCATAAGTAATTATTACATGATTACTCCACCAGTCACTAGAACAGCACAGACACTCAAAAATGGCATATTATTTGCAGATAATTAATTCCTTATCAAAAAATCTTTTTAGACC